ATCCATCGAATCCTTGTTTTTTATTTTACCGTTAATGCATAGAACAAATATCGAAGAACGTAACAAACAATAAAAAGCAAAACAAAATACAAAAGAAAAAAATGGGAATCAATCATGCTTACATTAATTAGCAACTATTTAAAATAAACATATCAGTAATCAATATCATTATACTGCCTTGAGATAACAAACACAAGAAGAAGAAAACAATCATGGCAATTACACACCGTACAGTGACTCTTCATAAACGTCCATATCAACCGATTTTTGGTCTATATTTTGGTGATGATATACCTTATGGTGTTTATGTAATTACTATAGAACCTAATTCACCAGCAGCTGATGCTTATATACAACCTGGTGATCGTATATTAGCTGTTAATGGACAATTAGTATCACAAATGTTTGGAAATCCAAGAGAAATTGTTTCAGAATTAGCAAATCGTGTTCAAACTTTAACACTTACTCTTCAATCAACGAATATACTTAGAGTTATTAATGAACCATTCACTAATGGTTATTATAATAACTATTATCAATATTCATCAAACTACAATCAAGGTATTGATTATGATCTCGAAAGGTATTTCTTTTTTATGCAGTAAATATTCTTATTTTTTTCAATTTTTTATTCAGTTATATAAAAGGATTATTTTTTAATGAAAATTTGAAAATTTGTCCTGTATCTTCATGGAATAATGATGAATATATTCTTGTGCCTGATGATTATGTTCGTAGGCCTGATGAATATATTCTTGTGTGTGATCAATATCCAATTCGATCTCGTCATCGTCGTCGTCATCGAAAACGAAAACATCATATGAGAAAAAGAACTCATACATCAAGTGAGGATGAACTAAGCGAAGATATGCAACGGTCATCTTTACATCGAGTTGCACCAAGTATGGATACATATGTAAGTCTACGTAATTCATAATTATTTACACTAAATAATCAAATATATGAACTACAGGAAGACATGTCTTCGTTAAGTATGCCACCAATAATAAATAATCAAGAACTCCATAACAATCAAATAGGTGAGTTTAGAATTTCTCTTATTAATCTATTCATTTAAGTATTTGATTATTTGTTAATTATCCTCAAGTTGGATTTGATGAACAACAACAAGGAATATTAGACCACAACCAAACATTATCACCAACTGTCGATGAAGGTTTACGTGAAGTACGTTTATATCGTTCATCAAATTCTCAAGAATTAGGTCTTGTTGCACGATTTAATAAACAGTACTATACTATTCATCATGTTGAGCATAATAGTCCAGCTCAACAGGGTGGCCTTCGTAAACATGATATTATACGAAAAGTAAATAATCAACCAATTGAAACAATTTCTCACGACACTTTTCTTCAAGTTATGAAGGACAGCAATGATATTACTTTAACTGTTCAAAGTTTGGATGATTACAAACGTACTCATCCTGAACAATTCCAACATCAAAGCACTCAATGAACATTTAATGCAATTATTAATTTAATTTATAATAAAATTGATCGAATTGAACGTAAAACTGATTTATCTAACTTATTCACCAAACGATAAAGACGTTTGAAAAATTTCATTTTAAATTCATGTACTCATAGCAAGAAAAACAACTGTATTAATTGTAGATATTATTAATGACAAATTGATTGTAAATCGTTGTTTTTTTTCTTGTCTAAAATTAAGATTTTAATTAAACCAAATTTATTGAAATAAAGTATATGAAAACTAGATATTTATTATACAAAAACAAAATATCATCAGAAGATATAAGGTGCTGATAAACACGTTTGTATTTTAATTGAATAGATTCTTGAATAACATTTATTGATGAAAGTTCTTGCATGGTTCATTGATTATGTTCGGTAGTTATTATTTTAAATTTTGAAACTCTGTTAATAATCAAGTAGTACTCAATAATTTAACATTATTGAGATAGTATGAAATATAATCTAACACATTTTTTAAAAAAAGAATCCGAACATTAAATAATTAACTACAGAATATGATCGATGAAACATTTAATTATCTATTTAAAAAACATTATTCGAGAATGTATGAATTAAATTCATATATATTTGACCGTTTTTCTTGATAAAGATTCTTTTTTCTTTGATTTTAGTTACGTGAAAAATATTGAAACAAGAGATTTGATGGAATTAATTTGTTAACTTTCACCGAGCATTTGCAGTGTTTTCTTAGAAACTGATGTAGAAAATTTAACAAAAAAAAAATTTCAAAATTTTAGAATTCATCAGTTGAGTAATACTAGACTAGTATTATCTTCAAAGAGTCCTGTTTTTTTTTTTATTGAGATATAAATCTTTTGAAATACAGCCATTTTTAATAGTTTTATAAACATAATATCCATAACACACTCTACTGATGAGTGAAAATATAAACTCTAAAAATCTTACAATTACTAGTGAGACATTCCTAGTAAATACTTCAAGTCTCCACTCTGTCAAACAAAAACTATGAAAAACTTATTCTGTCAATGTTGTTTTTTGACTATTCTCCATCTAACTAGCACAAAAAAATTTGCTTAGAAAAAATGATTCAATTCTCATGGATCTACTCTATTAAAAGAATCTATTCAAATGGTACCATCAACTTTTTTGTATTTTTTTTTTTGAAATTTTTATTTGGATAATAAACATCACTTCTTTCTAATATTCACATATTTTTGCATAATCATTCACAATCATTTTATTGTTATTAAATCGAATTAGTTCGAAGAATCTTTATTTATTGTTCATCTCCAAAGTCCTTACATTAGAACATGAAAAGGCAATTTAGAATTACAACAAGAAAGAGTCTAGATCTAGAGCGTTGTCAATAAAAGTTTAACTATATATATATCAGACAGTATAAACAACAGGACACTGTCAATAAGGAGGAAAAACAAATACGAAAAAATGACAAAAAGTAGAGAAAAAAGTGAAAGATAAAAAAAGCACATTGATATACGTAAAAGCATATAATCAACAAAATCAATCTACTTAAAAAAAAACACCAGAATCTCACGTCTTTCTTTCAATCTTTTATTATTTTCTTCATAAAAGAATGATTAACGTTATTTCTTTGATTTTTCTTGCAGTCGTTTCAGAAAAATATATCATAATAGAAGAAAGAGGCTAGCTAACATGAAATTTATGCATGTGCTACAATCTTTTTTTTTTGTATATACCTATGAACGTAGAAATTGAAAGAGTTTTCATTTATTACATAAAATAAATTTCATTCTGACATCAATAGATACTAATGCATCAATCTTCTTCTACATTCGTAAACAATAAATTTTGTTTAAAATATCATGTGTCTAACAGTTAGTTTTTCGTATTTGGTCAATGCTTTATTTTTATCAGTTTCTAATTAAACGTGTTCTTTATAAGAAAGGTGATTTGCATACACGTGCACATAACATAAGAAACAATAGCAAAACAAAAACAACATATGATAGTATCATTTACAATTTATTAAATTATTCTTTGCAATAGAAGAATGTAGATGTTTTATCGCTTTTCATTGAATTTCATAATTTTTAACTAAAGAAGTTTTAAAAAAAAGCATTCAAAACTATTTTGAGGATTTGAATAAGAAATTAAATAATGTTGATTTTACTCTTTCAGATTTTCTAGCATAAAATGCTAAAAATAATGCACATATTGATGTAAATATACTAATTTAAATTCGAATTTTGTTAGAGATTAATTATATTACAAGAAAAAGGTGAATCTTCTATCATAAGAAACAGTTTAGAATATCACATTTAATGACTTGAAAATTTTCAATCGATCTGATTGAATACGAAGCAAAAAAACAAACAAATAAATAGACATTTTTTGTCTCTTTTGTATGATATTTATAAAAATAGAATGATACAAATAACTCAATCAATAGTCGTGCATTGACATAGTCATAATATCAAACTAAATATAAGCCATTGATTTTCAGCCAATCATCGTTACCGTTTAACCCTAACACAACGACCTTCAAGATAACTATTTGTTGTCTACCTGAGGTGAATGCGAACCACTACTACATAATAATATAAATATAATCCATGAAGTTGTCATTAGTTTATCATGAACATGTGAAGACTTTATAGAAGGTTTCATAAAAAAAACAAACAAAAATGTTAGAGTTGAACTATATTTATCTTATCTTTTTTCATGGTTTCATCGTTTTTTTATTTTCAAAGCATTTGAAATCATGCATCACTATTCAATGTTAACATAGACTTTGAGTTTTTCCATCATAAGAAGAACAAATCCATATATGACTGACTGAATTTATCAGTGTATTATACCAACAAAAAAATTCACCAACTAATTAATTTCGAATTTCGACTTGAAACTTTATAGAAAGTTAGATCTTAATGAGAAATTTTGAAATATTTTGGTTTGCTTCTGTTCCGAAATCAGAGCATAAAATGTATTGTTATATATTAGCAATGAAAAAGACACGCTTTTACCTAGGCTACATTTCAGAACAAGAATAATGACAAGATTTGAAGTATTCACAAGAAACTATTTTCGTCAAGACTGTCTTTATGTAAAGTTTCAATTTGAAATTCGATAATCAGTCTTTCTGTTACCATGACATTCATTTAAAAACTATCACAAGAGTATAATATCTCGAGAACAATGAGCTAAGAACACGAATTCTTGTTTTCTCATAACTGTTCTCGATGTATATTTGAAATGGCATGACTCGGTTACTTGTGATGAGTACATAACATGATAATGAATCTTAACGGAGTCCGGACGAGTTTCAACTACTCAACAAGCATTTATGTACACTTTTGGATAGTGTATTCCTATAAATGACAGTTGAACGTATTCGTTAGCTGATCAGTTTCATTTACTATACGGTACCTAACTGAATGGGATCTGCACATATTTCACATGTTCGTATCAGGATTAATCAGATACATAAATATATCTTGACTAAAGTAACCAAGAAAAACATTCGTAGTGTAAAAGATTTATTTAATGTTGGTGTTGATAACTACAAGCATCAAAAACTCCTTGATTGAGATTATTCAAATCGATATTTGAGACAGTATTAGGAAATCTTTGTGCTAATATTACAATAGTTCCTGTTAATGAAACAATGGTAAAGATAATCAATAGAATTCGATCGAATACTAAAGCAACATAATGCCAATCATGAGCATTCTAAAATAAATAGAAATATGATTTTAAATAATGATTTATTATATTATTTTTACTTTATTTTTATTAACAGTTCTATTAAATTTTGAAAAAATCTTTTCAATTTCTGTTAAATGAAGTAATTTTTCCAACATTATCATAAAAATAGCATCATATGTATTATCTTGTGGTAATTTCATCCAATATTTTCTTTTATTTTGTTTAAATTTTTTAACTTTATCTTGTTTTATTGATGGTAAAAATAATAATGGTGGTAATATATTAATAAAAAAATATTTCATCCATTTAGGTATTGATTTTTTCTGATTTTGTTCTCGATAATAAAATGCAAGAGTAACTATTGCATTTAATATTGATAATGCTACAAGAATCATTATAAATAATAAATATTTTCCTAACAATGGTATTATTATAGATGTTGATGGTATTAAATCAGCAAGTAATGGAAAAAAGACTGTTAATGCTAATTCAATACTTATACAAAGAACAATTTTTTCACCTGATTGACTTGGTAAATAAAAGACAATTAATGTTAATAATGATATACCAACACAAGGAATTATCAAATGAACTATATAAAATAATGTTTTACGTTTTAATACAAGTATATATGTTATATCATAATATGGTTCTAAACAACAAGTATATGATTTTTGATTACGTTTAGCTGGTGCATGAATAATTTCCCATTCACCATTAGGATAGTAATTATGAAAAAATACACCTTGAGATCGATAATTGTTAAGAGAATGTGTCATTTCAATATTATTATAAACAATATGAGATAAATTAAGTTGATTTCCATCATGTCTACAAAAGAATTTCATAGATAAAATATAGAAAAACATAGATTTTGCTTACGTCCATGAACCAAATTTAAGTGAACAGACTTGTTCATCTAAAAATTTCAAAAGACATATTTTGTAATTTATTTTTCGAAACGCAAAATATACTCATCAAAGACATACAAATATTATACTAAGTCAAATTCGTATCAAAGCAGTCAAGCCAAGGCAAAAAATTTTCTTTATCTGTAGTTAAATTAAAATTGACATTAGCTAAGTCATGGAAAATCAAATCTTATGACAATGTTGGTAATTGAAACAAAAGTTTGAACTTTTAAATGTGATAGGAATAAGTTCTAGAATAGTTTTTTTCTAGATCATGATTCACAGTAAAAATAGTTGATCCTGAATAGCTCTTATCAGTACTAAATTATTAAAGCGATTGATGTATTTCTCATCATTAAGAAAATCAATGTTCTGCGTTTAGTTTTATAAGGGTTCTCTCTCCATGTCTATCACAGGCTATTATAAATTATATTTATCATCGTACGATGTACACGTGAACAGAGGAAACAGACGATTGCTTTGAAAGATTGGCTTCATGAAGAATATAGAATAAAGTAACTTGGAGAGACAATTATACAAGGGGGAAAAACTGATTTAAATCAGCTGAAAATCAATAAAAATCACTTAAAATCAGCGAAAATCACAGAAAGCCCTCAATTAATTCTGACCATCTGTCGGTGATTTTGCTGATTTTGAATGATTTTTAGTGATTTCAAATGATTTTGATGATTTCAAATGATTTTTGATGATTCTAAATGATTTCAGTGATTTTGGACAGATTTAAAACACCTTATTCTCCGACTAAATCAGTGAAAATCACCTAAAATCACAAATCGCTTTTTTCCCCCTTGCAATTATACAAATGAAAGTATGAATGATTCAGAAATCAACTTAAATATTTTACGAGGAAAGTATTCAAAATGTTCAGTTACATTTTGACACATACACACCTCGTTTGATAGAGAATATTGAGATTATAAGAAGTATAGTCGAACTCAAGTTCATAGTGTACTGATAGAATTAAGGGTATATAGATAGATTTGATAGTCATAAGATAATTCAGCGAAAATGAAAATATCTTCTTGTTCTCATTGAAACTTTCAGAACTATCTAATGGCTATTAAATCTATCCATAAGCAAAATTTCATGGCAAAATTCTTCATATTGAATTTTGCGAAATTTCTGACTTTGAGAAAAACTTCAGTAAAACATCTGTAACTCTTTATTAATATACTATAGGCTCCAACCCTTTTACACTTTGTCTTATGTCAATAGACTTTATCGAATGAATCAAAAAGAAGATGAATTCTCTAGATACGTTCCTCGTAAATCAAAGACTAAGTTCGCGAAAATATGGCCAGTTGCAACCTATCGAGCATTTACTACCATTATGGCAATAATCGAGAAGTAATTTTCTTTTATATTTGATTGTTGAAAAGATTGATTATGTCTTAATGAGGTCAATTTATTTCGAATTAGCGATGACCTAGTTTCTTTTTTCAAAATCAAATTCAGAGTTTTCTAATCATTTACTTACCAAATGGAAAATATTGAACATTAATAGAACAACTACTTTTATAAATCATTGGAGGATTCCATACAACAGCTCCCGATGGATAGACGAATGCTTTAGCTAATCAAAAAAAAATAAAATAAAATAATTATTCTAACTTATCAAAATTAAATCAGATCATACTCTTTGATGTTACTTGATATGCTCCATCAGCATTATTATACTTATATTAAACAAAACCATAATCACAATTATTTATTTTTTATGATAAAGAATAACAACAACATACCAAAACAATATCAGGTAACCATAATTCTTCTGATGCCATATGCATAATACAAATATTATCATAGAGTGATGAATTCCATTTTAATCGATAATCAAACCATTCCTTTTATAGATAAATACTAATAAATATATATATATATATATAAATTTTGAAACAAATATTTCGTACATGTTTAAGCCATACATTTGTTGTTATTATTTGACGTTTTTCATCCTCAAATTAAGGAAAAAAAAACATTCTTAGATAAATAAACAATTGTAATTAATATTAAATCTTACAACATCAATTAATTGTGTTACACTTAAACTAATTGCTACATTTAATGCATCATTGGCATTATATACTGGACGAACCTATTGAAACATAAAACAAAAGGTTGCTCGAATTATATTCTTTACATAAATATCTGTTTACTCGTTTATCATAATCACGCATTAAATCTTCATATAATCTTTTAGCTATATCACTTGCATTTATATTTTTGTCTATAAATATGATTTTTTCGAAAACAACAAAAAAGAATTCAAAACTTTGAAAAACATTCTTTAAAACCTACATGAAATCAATAAAAACCAAGTCAACCATATGTAATTGTTCATCATATTCATAAGAATAATGCGTTTATTCTCTTCGTTCGATGCTTTATAATCAAGTAATTGTTAAGAATGTGCAAAGCGGAAGCGACAAGTGTGAATATGACAGTTTTCTTTTTGTGAATGCATTGAATAAGAAAAACTATTAAGTCCTTCATGATGAATTAGGAAAAAATATAATTATTAAAATCTTGATCAGAGGTTCTTGTTTTCTCTCTCTCTCTCTCGCTCCTCACATATCTTTTATGTATAAAACAAGAAAGAGGAAGAAGAAAAAGAAAAAAAAAAAAATGAGATAGATTGCCAGATCATAAAAAGGCGAGAAAAGAAAAACGAAAAGAGTTGAAATGAAATGCAAAAAAAAAACACACGTGCTAACTACAAAAGAAGAAAAAAAAAACAAAACAAACGTTATTATTCGATATGTATATTTGTGGCTAAAATTTCTCCTGTTGATGTTGTTTGACAACCTTGTGATACATATCGACCTGTTTCGTCGGCTTGTTCACGTAATGATATTGCATTTTTACGTTGTACTACTTGTTGTAAATTACGTCGAAGAACTTCAGCATCAAGTCCACCAGCCATTTTAGGTAATGGACATTGTTCTTCATCAAGTGTTGGTAAACCAAGACGACTATGTCGATTTGAACTGGTCGAATTCATCAATGACATTGGTGGAGATTGATTTCCATTTGTATTGTTATCAATTGTTTCATCAAGTCCACCATTTATATCATTAGACATTTGATAAGCATGTAAATCTTGATCAATAGGTGCATATCCGTTAGACGGTTGAGAATTTTGATATTGAGTTGTTGAATAATGATCAAATGATGGAGGTGATATATAACCACCATTACTTGATGAAATTGATGATAAATTATTTGTACTTGCCGAATGAACAATATGGGATATTGAAGAATTTGAATTACTTGATGACATAGGTGTCATTAATTGAGCAGGACGATTATTTTGACGTGGCCAAGTTTTTAATGATTTCCATTTTGTTGAACCTTTAGAAATACGAAAAAAAAAAAATTATTTTAATAAAATATAAATTATAAAAACTTCTATAATCAAGAAGAAAATAATTTTATTGTAGTATAGTGTACTCAAAAGTAACATCTACATATTGAGAAAATTAACAAGTACACTTAATTCTATTCTTTATAATATGATTAACAATATCTAAATTAAGTCAATCAATGCAATAATAAGAATAATAAGAAAAATATTTGTTTTTAAAATATATCTAATAAACTTTGTTTATATTAAAAATCTTCATAATTTTCATTATTATATTATTTTAATAGGAAATAGTAAAAATATACAAATTTATTGATAAGATATATTTACCTTCTTTTGGACCAAGTATAGCATTAAAATTCATTGAATCGCCGGGATTAAGTACACATGTAAGATCATTAAATGTTTCAAAATGACATGATTGTATATCAAAAAAAACTTGTTCATTATTATCCATATTTAATATTCCATATTTAGGAAATATACGTATAACAACACCTGATGTTGTTATAGATGTTGGTTGTTGAGATAATTGTGTTGTTATTGTTGTTGGTGTTGTTAATGATGATGTTTGTGAATTATCATTTTTATTTAATAAAGCTCGTACAGCTTCAAATTTAACACTAACTGTACCATCTGTATGTAATTGAAATATAGCATTATGTCGTTTAAAAAATGTTATAAGATCATCACGTGTAAAACCAATTAATTGTGCAAGATGATCAGGTGCACGTGCAATTAATCCCGGTACATTTTGAAGTAAAATACGGCCACTTTTATGTAATAAACGCATTACATAATGTACAGCTTTAACTTCATTTGATGTTAAACGTTGATTTGTATTACGAGTTATTGTTGGTGTTGCTATTGATGCTATTCCTGATGATGATGATGATGATAATAACATTGATGAATTGGTATTATTTGTTGGTGTATTTGGTATTGAATTATTATTTATATTTGTATTATTGTTATTACCACCGATTATTGGTCGTGTACCAGATTTAAATGATGTTGAACGTGTTAACATTAAATTATTTCCACTACCATTCATCATATTATTATTATTAGATAATGTAATACGACGTTTTGGTGGTGGTGATGGTGGTGGAAATGGTACACCAGGTAAATCTGCTTTACCCTAAAAAAATTAAAATTTGTTTTTATTTTTATTTTTATTTTTTTCTGTGTGTGTTCTTACTTTAAGACCACAAAATTCATCACGAACAATGAAAATATTTGGATAACGTAAAAGAAATACTTTAAATTCATTTTGTGGTCCAACATATTTTCGTACATCAGCTGATGCTTGTGATGCATGTCCAGCAACACTAACTATTGGTAACCATTCTTCTTCTCTTTTAAATAATTGTTTTTTAAAAAAATTTATTGCTTCTTGTTCAATTTCACGCATTGTTTTAGCATCCCATACTGTTTCATTTGTTGATAATGTTGTCATTGTTTCTGTTCCACTTATAGTTTCATTCGCCTCGTGATTCGAGGCGGATGATACAATTGATTTATTTTTATTATGATGAGATTTTGATGAATTAATTGTACGTACTGGTGTTGCACTATTAGCTGATACAGTATCATTGTTAACTGTAAATAATGATGGATATCGAAGCAAGAATTGTTGTAATCCTTGCTCATTACCACCAACAGCACGTAACATTTGAGGTGTAAATGTTCGATCAGCGAAGCTATCGTAAAGCTTCACAATAGGCATTGCTTGATTATTACGAATGAGTACATCGAGAATAAATAGAATTGCTTGATGAGCCACCTGATTAGATAAATAAATAAATAAACATATGAAAATTAGAAAAAAAAAAAAGAAAGAAAACTTACCGACGGCTCATCGATTGCTATTCCATGTGTCTTCTCGGCAGATACGACAGGAGTTATTGCGGATGTTGTTGTTGTTGTCGTCGTTGTTGTCGACGACACAGGTGAAGGTACTGTTGTATTAGGTGTTGTTGGTAACGAGAACATCTCCTCCTCCTGTAATAACAAGGATGACATGTTTTTTTTTTTTTCTTGTCAAATTACCAAAAAAAAAAAAAGGAAAAGACTAAAGAAGAAAAAAATGATTCACACGAATATAAACGCAAATCATATTCAACAATCTTAAATTGGTCACGGATGAATGAAAAATAGTACGGTTGTCTCAGTTAATGACACTTGCCTATATGTAAATATGGGTAAATGTACGCATATAAAAATATCAATTAGAGATCTCTCTTAGATTTTGACCTTCGTTTTCTTTTCTCTTTTCAATCGTTCACTTCTATTGTATGATTGATGATAGGCAAAAGATAATGATAACAATAAGAATGATGACAAAGCTCGACAACATGTTGCCGTGTATATGAGATAACTGCTACTAGAAGATTAGTTGTGCAAAGATACACGTACTTCTTTTCTTTTCTTCTCATTCTTTTTTGTTTCTTTCCCTCTCTCTCTCTCTTTATCATTCTTTGTCAGCTTACTCGTTCTTTATAACCACGTCTTACTACTTCTGTACACGACACACGTACAAGTATTTCCATCTATATAAGAAATACCACTTCACGTTCACCAGAACGAGAAAATAGATGAGATGAAAAGTCATTTTTGCATAGACAAGAAGGCCATAACCTAAAGGGTCAATTTAATAATTGTACGATATTACCATTATTTATGATCGTGTGATTGAACTACGTTTTTCTTCTTTGTATTTATAATAGTCATTTACCTGTCTCGGTATTTTATTTATGATCAGACGAGAGATGTTGGGAGGATACTGTCGATAAGTTAATACTTATAAATGAAGGTAATATAAGATGATGAGAAAATGAAAAAAAGAAATGAATAAGAAGCAGTTATTTGAAATAATAAATAAAGTTGTGATGACAACGAAGAAGATGCAGACAATATATGTGTTAAATGATCTGATCACGAAGCAAGATGGTGAGAGCTTCGCGTGTTATGGTGTCGCCGATAATGATGTTGGGTTATAGGCTGCTTCTTTCTTCTTTTCGCCTCGGTTTTTTTTTGTGTATTACCCTGAAAAGGAGAAAGGAAGAGAGAGAGAGACAGAGAGAATAGGAAGAAAAAATTGACAATATGATTTGTTCGTTCTTTCTTTATATGTCTATCGTCGTTGCTATTCTCTTCCGGCACGGTCAATCCTTTATACCAAGAATGCAAACGAACAAATACACATATGAGACATCTGTTTATATTACGACCTACGTTTTTATGAGAAAAAAAAAAAGAAGAAAATATGCTACTTGTTTTACGTGAAAAAGTAAAGAAAGAAAAAACCTTTTTCTTTTTGATTCAAAATAGATAAGAACTGTCCTTTTTTTCAGGTCAATAGTAGAATAAGAGAGAGAGAGAGAGAGAAAGAAAAAACCTAATTGATCATTTTTGAATGTTTTTTTATTAAAACAAAAAAAAGAAAAACCTTAAATCAATCATCTCAAGTATAATAGAACTGTCTTATGATGTCAAAAAATAATATTAACTTCAATGAATAATGACTAAATCGGTTGAATGACCAATTACATGACTCATTTTTAATTAAGTGCGTCATATGATTAAAAAGATTATGAAATTTCAAAAATATATACTAGTACAGAATTTATAGACAATAATATTCTCCTGAATTGAATAAATTAGCAGAAAGATTGAATTTTGATGGAGGTCGCTAAATTACGGCTACATAATATATTCATATTATGATTAATGATGTATTTCTATCTATTGAAGATTACGAATCTTTGACTATACAAAGAAAATCTATTAGTAAAAAAATGTCATCTTCTAGTATGTCATCAAACTGATGGTAATTCGATAAAATAAGAGAGAAAAAAGATTTTGTCACAGAAACCAAAATATTATCCATACATTTATGTTAGATGATTTGCTGTTGTCTCCTATATATATACCATAAATAATATTTTTCTGATGAATGTTATCATTTTTTGTTTTCTTTCTATAGATTTCTTGGCCATGGCCTTGTTGTTATTTCTTCTTGATATACTTATTCTAGCATACTTTTTTTTTTCTCTTTAATATTTGCGTCTCGAAAAGAAGAAAAAAAAAAAAACAAGACATTGCATTTCTTTTTTTATTATCTTGGATATTGATGTATTTATCTGTTTGATTGAATTTCATTTATAAAAATCTTATTATCACTATTAATAATTAGAGAGAAAAAAGTCTAAATTATTAGTGTAGATGTTAAACACAGAAATAATCAAGAAGAAAAAGAAGAAAAAAAATTATATTAAGTACTTGAAAATCGTCATATCAATCGATGAAGTGTTGAGTTGTATTAAATCCTTATTTTTCAGCTATATTTGGGAAATTGTGTTGACAAGTCTTTACTGTCCTTCTCAAGAAAAAGAAAACAGCTATGATTATCAGTTACTATTATCATATAAAAGACAGATTATGCCAAAACTGATAAATTATGAATAAAAAGGTCATATGAATATTCTTTTTTTTCATTTACATAAGTTTATTGAAGTTTAAAATTATACTTTAAAATAAGATTGTATGAACTCATATTGAAGTACATGAACAATAGAAATTTACATATTTAAAAGATATTAATATTTTTTGTTTCTATAGATCATCTCTTTGAATATTAGTTCAATTCAATATTAGTCATAACATAGAATGAAAAAAAAAACAATCTATAAAAGAAATGTGAAGTTTTATTTCACAATAAATATATGATTAATTTTTAATCTTTTTCTATTTTTTTTTTATGGCAATTATATGAATAAATTTGTAAGTAATGTTCTATAGGAACAATAATAAAACATGAACATTCATGAAAATCATTTTGTTTTATGCATAGAAATAGATTTTGATATTCTTGTACGAATATTCACATAGATTATTAATTCAAAGAGAAATAACTACTTATCAACAAAGATTAGATCAATTTATTTATTAAATTGTAATTCAACTATAATACTTCTCGTATTCAATGCTTTCTTTTTTTCATCAGTACTGTTAACATATTTATGGTTTCTTTTTGCTGTTTAATAGTTCAATCGATGAAGAAAATAATTTCTTTAACTTAACGTTGGTAAAGTTCGACATCTAAATAATAATTGATGTATATTACAATGATGTACATCTAATGACAATTATTATTTTTAATTCAAGGCAATATTATGTTGTACAGAGTATGATGTTGGCGTAATCAACTGTCTGGTAATGATAATTTTTCTGAAACACGATAATTGAAATCGTATTAGGAACGAAAATTCAAAAAAGTCATTCCCACAGGATACTAATAGAGAGCCAAATATTTATCAATCAAGAAAGAAAAAAATGCAAAGTACGCACTAAAAACTTTCTGCCTCGTATTAATCATTTGATCAAGTGAGAACAATGATCTTTTTCTACTATGATGAACTGTGAACTATAGAAGTGTGGGTGAATGGGTACAGCTGTGACTGTAAATGGAAAGAAGACGCAAGCCAACATCTATATCACACACTCATGCCCAACCTTGCGCCGCTGTCACAATGAATTTTGAGAAACTCTTCGAAAACTTTTCCCGTCACTATGCTAAATTGGTACAACAGGACTGAATTCATCATGATTCTTCTTTTCAAAAAAGAAACTACTGCTATTGTGACAGATTTTTGAAATATCTTCCGCGCCTCTAACGTTATCATGGACATTCTGCTTTAAACTTACATAAAACAAAAAGTATATTCTTATCTAAATTCAGTTTGTCCCCATTTTTTTCCAAGTTTGCAATACTATAAAACAAAAAAATGATCATAAAAAGCAGGTCGCATTAAAATGGCAAGAAAGAAAGAGTGACTTTGAAAAAATGAAAGTGCACGACCAGGTATTAAATTGAAGTGTTTATGCATGAAATCAATAGAGTTCTTATCGAAGAATAAGTTTTACTGTAATACAAACAGATAATGATATAATATTGATTTTATTGTTCATACTAAAATTTACTGTTCGTCGTAGAATCTTGATATGACAAACGAGAGAACATCGAAGTTTAGTATGGGTTCATCACCTGAACAGGTAAGATTAACGTCTAGATCAACAAGTATTATTAAAAATTCGACATCTACAGTATTTGATGTTTCTTTGAATATCAATCCAATTTCTAACATCTAAAACAACTTATCAGAGACTCTACGTTCTCGCATTGCAGAGAATTTTATTGTTATTTGGTTGAATTTAAATATAAACTATTCTGAGAAAGATATAGATAATTCTATTAATAAACTGAAATATGTTGTAAACTCGGTCAAAACATTTACTAATCCAAATCAATATATTGAATTTGTTACTGAAGTTCGAGATGAAAAGATATTTATGATTACTTCAGAATCATTCAATCCATCTATCATTCCTCTTATTGAAGATATTACTCAGCTTCACACAATCTATATTATCAATAGTCAACAAATATATGATGAAGAATGCATAAAAGGATACAAAAAAGTTACAGGAGGTTTTCACAAATTGAATCCATTTGTGATATACTTAAACAAGATATTTCTCTGCTAATGATTGATTTGACACCATTTGGTATTGTTTCGCCCACATCTTCTCCATATTTTGATACATTAGATCCATCATTTATGTATACACAATTGCTCAAAGATATTATTTTTGAGATGAAATATGAGGATAGTGCAAAAAAAGAATTTACTGACTTCTACCTTAAATCTTTTCCTGAGCAAGACTTCTAGTCAAACACTGTACATCAATTTCAGCAATTTTATGAACATCATTCACCTATCTGGTGGTACACAAGAGAACACTTTATATATTCTACACTCAACAAAACTTTGAGCACTTTGGATAGTGAAGTGATAATAAATATGGGATTTTTCATCCAAGATCTTCGTCGAGAAATTGAACAAAAACACTTACAACATCGTCAAACTTTCAAAATGAACGTTTATCGAGGACAAGGGTTATCAGAGACTGATTTTCACACAATACAGGAA